ATTCCCATAATTCCATTCATTGATACCAGGAGCTGCAGTTTGCCCCGGGCTGGTCAGCCAGCTCTGGTCTCAGTTAGGACAATAAAGTTCTGGCTTTCCTTTCCTCCCATCAAAACAGCTAAACCATACTTTTATCTATTAAGCCCAGCCCACTGACAACAATCCAACCTATAGGGACAGACATCATTTAGGGCCACCTGAAAGAATAAATGGTTTCATCCATTTGTTTGTGTTCAGGCCAAGAATATTTTTCCAGTCTTGCACCCTTGTTTGATCCCGTGCTGCAGTTTTGAAAACTTTAACAGTCCATGTTAGCATTGCTAGTCTTCTGAGTGCCTTCCAGCTATTCCTCCAAGTCAAAATTTTAAAGAACATCTTTATCATCATTAACTTGCATCATTTTCCTCAGTTGTTGGCAGTTGTTGGACTCTCTTGTTTCTACTTAAAACCAAATCATTTCTGTCTTTCTTGTGTCCAGTAAATGTCCCAGCCACAGTGGTGGAGGCCATGACGAGGCAGGAATCCCTCCAGTCCTTCAGCAAAAACGGCAAACCCTCTTCCTCGTCCTCTTCATCATCCTCCACTCCATCCTCCACCCTCATGCGCTCCATGGTCTTCCCCCACTCCCCCTGCCCTCGGAGTTTCTCCCTGTTGGATAAGGTTGGGGTTCAGTCGGACTCCAGTTTTGGCCAGTTGGGGTCAAAGAACCAGAGAGTCCTGGCAAGTCCCACATCCACCAGCCAGCTTAGCAGTGAGTTCAGCGACTGGCACCTGTGGAAATGTGGCCAGTGCTTCAAGACCTTCACCCAGAGGATCCTGCTCCAGATGCATGTCTGTCCGCAAAATCCTGACCGGTAAGACACAGTGGTTTTAGATGCTTGACAGTTTGTCTCAAGGCTGTTGTAATGCAGGATAAACTGACACTAAAGGGACACAGTGTTGGTTTGAGAATGACTCCAAAAACGTTTCTTTATGTCTGAAACCTCAGGGGATCAAAATCTTTTGATAGCTTACAATCAACATTGTAAGCAACTGTGTTGTACCAAAGCCCTTAAAGAAGGTAGAAGGGCTTCGGCATCATTTAAAATGAGTTTTAAATGAATAAAGGCGAAGATTTTAACTGTAAACAAAGCATGATCTAGAGATAACGTGTATAAACAACATAAGTAGCAAGTGCCAAGTGCTCATATGTCCAGAAACGCCATTTTCAGTCAAGAATTTGGCTTCGAGATTTTGGTCTGTACCTACTGGCAGCTTGAAAAGAAATACTTTTCTGGCACAAAGATGACACTTCACCACATCAATGTCTTTTGTATTATAGTGTAGAATACTTTGTATAAAAAGAAAAAAATATGACCCTCAAAGTGACAAAGTGTCAGATAGTTGTTGCTGTTTTCCCAGAGGAAGCCAGCAAATCTGATGCGTTTGCTGTGATTTATGACTCTCGTTGTTCCATCATGGCACTATTTGTGTGTGACAGAAAGTGGGAGTTTGGGGATGAGAGTGAAGAGTGTGTAAAAGTGTTTGAGTGTGTATAACATCTGCCAAGTTAATTATATACAGCATGCGTGGAGTGTGTGTATGTGTGTGCATAGGGGGGGACACAGGATGTATTGGAAATTTTTTGCTTAGCTTTATTTTTGTGGGGAGAGTCAGAGCGGCGTATAAATCAGCGCTGTGCGTCACTGAGAAATACCTCGCCTTACGGTGACGGGGCCAGGAAAACAGATGCCACTTATTCAATAAACTAATACTCATAGGGAAGAAAAATGTGGGCTGGATATGGAGGAGGGAGGGAGAGTCGATGGGGAGCTGCCTGTCAATAGGAAGGTTTTATGGGACAGAGGAGCAGATAAAATTCAGCTGAACAAGCCAAACAGAAACAGTCCTGGATCTCCAAGGCCATACTGTACCGTTCAGGTGAACTGGCATTATACCAGTATGCCCATGAGGCAAAGTCATGCCCCAACATAAGCACTAATCTTTTTCTTAAAGTTGCACCTAACCAGACTATTATATGCGTCAAATGATGAAATTTATGTTTTTCTGCTGCACTATTCTTCATTGTACAAAGGACAAGAGTTGGCAGTCTGTATGTTTAAGAGGTTCAATCTCACCCTGGCCATCAACTCTTTAGTTTGCCACCTTCTAAAAGCAGTACCAGAAGACTAAAGAATAGCTTCTTGGGCCATCAGGCTATTCAACACCCAAATTAAACTCTAAGAATTCACTGAATATTTCCAATCCTGTGCAATATCCCCCTTAAGTGCAAAGTGCAATAGCTAAACTACCTCTAAATATCATCTATTCTGCTTTCTACCTATGCCATTGTCAAAGCTGCTGTCATTAGGATTATTAG